GGACGAAGTACGGCCAGGACATGCGCGCACTTGGCAAGTAAGGGAGGGCACTTGGAGGTAGTGCGGTATGTTGCAGAGACATGCGGGGAGGAGGTGCTGAGGGAGAAGGATGAAGACGGCAAGACATGCGCGCACTGGGCGAGTGAGGGAGGGCACTTGGAGGTAGTGCGGTATGTTGGGGAGACATGCGGGGAGGAGGTGCTGAGGGAGAAGGACAAGAGGGGCTGGACATGCGCGCACTTGGCGAGTCAGGGAGGGCACATGGAGGTAGTGCGGTATGTTGGGGAGACATGCGGGGAGGAGGTGCTGAGGGAGAAGGACGAAGACGGCTACACATGCGCGCACTGGGCGAGTTTCAGAGGGGACTTGGAGGTAGTGCGGTACATTGTAGAGACATGCGGGGAGGAGGTGCTGAGGGAGAAGGACAATCTCGGCAAGACATGCGCGCACTTGGCAAGTAAGGGAGGGCACATGGAGGTGTTGCGGTATGTTGCAGAGACATGCGGGGAGGATGTGCTGAGGGAGAAGGACAAGAGGGGCTGGACATGCGCGCACTATGCGAGTGAGGGAGGGGACTTGGAGGTAGTGCGGTACATTGTAGAGACATGCGGGGAGGAGGTGCTGAGGGAGAAGGATGAAGACGGCAAGACATGCGCGCACTTGGCGAGTGAGGGAGGGCAGTTGGAGGTGCTGCGGTATGTTGGGAAGACATGCGGGGAGGAGGTGCTGAGGGAGAAGGACAAGAGGGGCTGGACATGCGCGCACTGGGCGAGTGAGAGAGGGCACTTGGAGGTAGTGCGGTATGTAGGGGAGACATGTGGGGAGGAGCTGCTGAGGGAGAAGGACAATGACGGCTTGACTTGCTTCACTTTGGCTGATAAGTCAGATGTCAAGGATTATCTTAGAGGTTTAGGTATCGACTAGTCTCAGACTGAGCCAACAAGCTGCAGCCATAGAAATCGCTCTCATACCTATCAGAGCCCTAGTAAAAGCGAGCTCACCTCAGACTGGACCTACCCCAGCTAAGGGACAGCACTCAAGGCTAGTCTCAGCCTTGATCATCAACAAAGTCAGTCAAACGACTCTCAAAGCGCTTGATGCATACAAGGACTAGATGTGCTGGGGAGGATGACCCCTGGTGCCTGAGAGAGACTAGCAAGTACGGGTGGCTTCCCTCACTGCTGGTAGGACGAGGAGCAGAGGCTTGCGAGGAGCGAGAGCTGGCACGAGGCGAGTGAGCTCGAGCAGCAAGGAGCAGTAGCGCTAGTCCTTCCCTCAGGCTGTACGAGGATGAGCCTCTTGAGGTACAAGGGGCTGCTGTCTGCTGATGGAGTCTAGCTGGCTGGTCTGGCATCGCCAGTACAGCAGACATCACTGCACTTGACCTCTGAGCGACGCAGCGGAGGAGCCGTGAGCGCTCGCTGTCAGCGTCAGCAGCCCGTGAGGCTTCGGGGGGGGAGACAAGGAGGAGGAGGAGGAAAGAGAAGGGAGGGAGAGCCGAGAGCCAAGAGAGGAGAAGCGAAGCCAGCATCCTCATGACTTGCCAGCCTCAGCACCCGCTGTCGCACATGCCTCCCCAGCAGGTGACCGAGCAGCTGCAGGACCGAGCAGGCGAGCTGCCGGCCATGGCGACCTCACCGCTCGCTGTCGGCAGGCTGAGGGGCATAGGAGGAGAGGGGGAGGAGCGGAGGTGGAGGTGAGCCGGGGAGGGTGGGGGTCGTGAGAGAGAGTCAGACCAGGGGTTGAAGTACAGGAGAAGGTAACCAGACGAGAGGGGAAGAGAGGGGTGGGTACGGACAAGGAGGGGTGGGGGTGGGGGGTGGGGGGCTCAAGTCAGAGACGTAAAGGGAGCATGCGAAGATCGATCAAACAGATTGTGGCTGGGATACTAGTGATAGGGCTGACTTGAAACAACTTGCGGCTAGAGAGAGAGCCTGATTGAAGAGAAGAGTCATCCGAATGTGTGTAACGAGACTTGATGGGATTGCATGAGTTTGCAGCAGAAACGAAAAAACACCAACAAACAGAAACTGCAGAAAACATTACGACTGACCAGACATGAGATCAACATGGTTGGGCATGTATACGAGGCTTGTGACTCCTGGATCATGACGGATCGAAATCAAGCTTGTTGCAAGTGGACCGACGTTGTGTGACGCACGGAAGTCTCGAGTCTGATTTTGAAATCAGACCCGAGAGTTTCAAAGTCTTTAAGACTTTGAAACTCATTCCAGTGTCACACAACTCCGCAAGCTCCGAGCGACTGTGTGGCCCTAAAGTCGCTGTCTCCAACCACGTCATCGCAGCTCAGAAACACACCAAGCTCTACATCATAATCGCCATGGCTCTCGCCGCAATTATACTCGCAAAGAACCAAGATAGTCAACGAATACGTAGTTTGCCCTCAGAAGTCCCACTTTAGATCTATCTTCGATCTTCACAGTAAACTTGAACGAAAACTCATTCGACTACTTCCCCCTAAACTCTAAACTATCCCTAGCCGAAACCGCTTCCCTCGTGCTTTGCGTTAAAGAAAACTTTTTTTCATCTGTGCTGTAATTTTAAACCCCATTCTGAATATTAAAGACTGACTGTTTGGATTGGTTGGTGAGACACAACATGAAAAACTACTTCTTCTTTGTGTTTGTATTCGCTTGACTGGCAGGTCCAACGTCTATTCAACCCGCGGCACACAAATGAGTCTGTCATCGTGTGCTAAAGTCACCAATAGCTCAAATCAAGAAGGAATCAAGTGTTGGGGGTACAACAAATACAAGAATCTGGGATTACCCACCTCCGACGAGACCGAGATACCGGCCAAAGACCGACCCTTTGTGCACTTCACTCTGACAGTCGAGTCGATTGTCCCAGAGGTTTGCGGGAGTTGTGGCGTGTTTTCCTCACAAGGGTCACCGAGCTACGTGCACTGCTGGGGCGCACTATACAGCGCCGGGAACATATACACGACTCACGACGCGTCCAACATGGTACAGATCAACACACCCGGCGATGCTGTCATGATCGATTTTCTGAGAGTCATCACCAATGCCAGAAATCTCAGTTGTGTTGGTACCTTCATCGATGGAAAATCAGGTCTTGGGGTGAATGATGCGATATCACCCTATTTTCAAGCGATTCCAATGGGTAATACATTTAACGGTTGTCAACAGGGGGAGATACTGCAAATAATTGGGAGCTTTTCCAGTAGTAGCACAAAGTCAACACAACCCAGGGTCATAGTCAAAAGGATCCAGCACACATAGTGCCCACACGAGAACTTCAGAAACAACTCCGAACCCTCAGCACAACAGCCGATACAACCCGCTCCCGCAGGTATCTTCTCCCGCCCGTAGAACCTGAACACAGTCCCGTAGTACTTCCCACAGAAGAAACACAACTTTAACTCTCATAATACCGCCATTACACGCTGATGACTCGCACATCGGATGGTTCCCACACAATCGCACACTGCTCGACAGCTGGCTCGACAGCATCACACTCGACCGCATGAGACAGGGGGGGAAGTTTAAACTTTCAAAGTTTCGTCACGTCGTTTTTCCCCTTCGATGCTCAAGACCTTGGAAGATTGAAAGTTTCGCCCATCAGAAAAGAAAAAATCAAACCCACCATCTTGCTTGACGGGGTGGTTACCAAGGACTCGGATAGACAAATGGACCGGTGGTGCCCCTCTCGCTTCACAAGTGGATAGAGAGTGGCGAGCATGAAGCGTGTGCTATGGCTCCTTCTTGCATGCTTCGTTTCACAGACAGATGGAGCATCCAGTGCAAGCTGTGGTGGCTGTGTTTTTCACGTGTCAGACGACGGTTTGTTGACCAGGGACGGAAGTTGCAGGGATAGTTGCACATATCTCAGCTTATCTTTTATGAATATACGAAACATATCAAATGGTACTTTCGACGGACTGTCAAACTTGGAGTGGCTAGATCTTGACAACAACGAGCTACAGACCCTGCCTGCGGGTATCTTTGATGAACTGTCGAACTTGAACTGGCTACAACTTTCGACAAACCAGCTACAAAAACTGCATGTGGGTATCTTTAATAACGGGCTGTCAAATTTAAGATCGCTACATATTTACAACAACCAGATAGAGACTTTACCCACGGATATCTTTGATGGACTTTCAAATTTAGAATCTCTATATCTCTACAACAACCAGCTGCAAAAACTACCTGCGGGTATCTTTGACGGACTGTCTAGATTGTACGAGCTGTTTCTGTTCGACAACCAGCTACAGACCCTGCCCTTGGGTATCTTTGATGGACTGTCGAGTTTGTGGTGGTTGCAACTGAATGACAACAACCTCTATTGCATCCCTTCCCAAGCCTTCGCCAACCTGTCATCCCTTCATTTATTAGACCTCAGTCACAACAATCTGACTTGCTACCATTCATCCTGGCCAGCCTTTGCTACAATGGATCAAAACCTAGAGCCATGCCAGAACGAAACCGAATGCATCGAAACATCGTCGTCACTCCCCTCAATCCCGATAAACATCGCAGATCAAAAGAACCTTGACATGCAGACAATATTGAACTCCTCAAAGTCACACCACAACAACTGCAGCATCGAAGCATCGTGGCACGAAATCATCCTTGGAGAGACCTCACAACTCCCCGCATTCAAATCAGGCGGCCTCGGAAGACTCATGGTGCGAGGCAAGTACGAGGTCTGGGTGTGCAGCTACAAAGATCTCTGCGCCGAGCCGTTGAACCCCTTCTGCTACGCCTTCGACGAACAGATGAAGCTGTTTGTGCCATGGTAACTCCCTGACTTCTATATCTGATTACTTCTCACTTTGCCATTTGGTGAAAACAGGGGACTGGAGAAGCTGGTCTTGGGTTGAGGAGCTCGAAGTGTTTGAATAGAAATTCGAACAAATAATTCAAAGAGTTCTAGAATCTTCCGATGCTTCTTTTTACTGCTGTTTTGCTACGATTTGATTTGAAATAAAAATTTGGAGTAACAACTTGTTATTTTTTCATTGTGCTATGTGTGACCAGGCAGGGACTGTACAGCAGAGCGCAGCAATGCAGCAGCTGCAGGAACAATAGTCGTCGTTGGCGTTGGCGTTGGCGTTGGCGTTGGCCAATGAGGCCTTTGATGCAGTCGAGGAGACCTCGATACCACCACCGAAGCCCCGCATCTTCTGAGGACCAGAGCCTTCCTCATCCTCCCCTCTCCCCCTCCTCCCCAACTACCGCCGCCGCCGCCGCCGCCACTCCTGCTCCTGCTCCTGCTCCTGCTCCTGCTCCTCCTGCTCCTCCTCATGCTGCCGGGTTTCTTCACCTTGATGGCGAGTGTGCGGATGTCCGCCATGGCTAGGTCGCCTCCTTCCGCAGGCGTCACGTCAGCAGCTGCCTCTTGTCTTGCATGTCGGGTTGTGCTGGAGGAGCTGAGAGACACCCAGAGGTCTTGCTCACGGGGGGGCGATGAGGCGGAGGAGTTGCTAGGGGATCACCCGAGCGCTCTTAGACGCATGACCGTGACACGAGCAGCCTCGGTGAAGCCTCCAGCTGACAACCCCTGGTCTTGACCCCTCCGAGCCTCTGCCAGGTCTGCTCCGAGGCCCTCGCCAGCTGGACCCTGCATTCAAGGGTGGATCGAGCTCAGGAGTACCGGTAGTCAGCCGAGGCTGTCCGAGCTCATACAGCAGCAACAGCCTCTCAGTGAGACGGCGGGGAGATATGGCTCCTGCCCCTCACCCGTCAGCTGCGGACTTCCACGGCATCCTGGGCTCAGGGCCCGGTCAGCCGCAGAGTAAAGTACGCAGTCACTGTACCGTCACGTTGTCATACGGTCCGATCTTCAGCCTCCGACGGCGAGGCGGTCACCGTCTGAGCCTCGGAGATCGCAATACCCAACACAACTTTTTATTGACTGAAAATGGAAATGCAAACCGGAGCAAACAAGGAGGAAAAGGAGAAAACCTACAAATCCGCCTCAAGAGAAAAACCAGGAAACGGAGGAGGCAGCAAAACCGCTACTCCAACCACGCAAGCGACGGCATGCACGACAAGCAGGGGAACAAGGATCAGGACAAAGAGCAGTAGCGCAAGGCTCCTGCGAGGAGGACGGCAAGACCCATGCGAGAGCGATACTGCCGAAACAGGCGAGCACGCAAACGATGAAAGCCAGGGTCCCCATACACCGCCTCCTGAGCGCAGCCATCCCACTCCGCTGTCAACGTTGCTCCATGGTGATCCGCCAGGTACCAGAGAAACCGCAAAGCGTCAGCATGAAGAAGACCATCCGTACCTGCAGTGAAGGGAAGAAAGGCCTTCGGCGGGTGATGGGTGCCATAACTTGCGCGATGATCGGGGCCGGAGAGCGCAGAAAGTCCGACGGGGCTGCCGCTGCTGTTGTAGGGATGTGTCATCGTGAAGTCCAGAACCAGCCCATTCCAGGTGTGGGTGGAAAGGCCAGGGAGCCAGAGGTCGCCCATGTGTCTGTTGGAGGGGCCGTGCTGAGGGACGAGGGTCCGGGTTTGTCGCAGACCCTGCTGATGAAGCTTGGTGACCATGCCCGCTTCCACACAGATGTCGCGCAGAACCACAGTACACTGCTCGTGTGCGGTGGTCCAGAGACCTGCGCGATGACGACAATTGGCCAAATGAGAGACACTGCTTCCCGCCGAGGGGTCTAGAGCTGTAGCACAACGATCACAGGTGGGAGGCAGCTCGGCCGGAGGTAGCCCATGCAGGAAGCGATCGACCCCTCGTGCGAGGTGGATGGGACACTGGTGGGAAGGGTGAAGGTTCGTTGCCTCCATCAGAGAGTATTGCAAACGCCGCTGAGGGTTCTGAGTCTTGCGAAGGAGGGGCTCCAGGGGGAATGGGCTAGAAGGCTGACTCGCTGACTCTGGGGGATAGAGCTCCACAGTATAGCTGCCATGAGCCCGGAGGAGAGCTGCCTGCACCTGAGACAATTGCGCCCACCGCTCAAGATGAGGGGGAAAAGTCTGCATCAACCGTCCAGTGACTGAGCGCTGGGGGGGGAGAAAAGGAGGTCCGCCCGCGAGTTGAAAAAGCGCTGGAGATGGGATCGAATTGTGCAAACGTGCGTCCTCCAGGTCACTGGGGTCCAGGTATTGCGGCACTCCACGGTCAACCAGGGCCTGATGCACCCGCAGGAAGGAGGCGAGTAGGGGAGGGAGGGCCAGATCCGGCTCGTCCAATTGACGGAGGGTACCATCGAGGCGAGAGAACAGGGGAGGGGTCGAGAATGTCCAGGTCTGCACACAGGGTAGGGTAGCACTCCATTGTAAGAAGCTGGCCGTGGCGCTGTAATAGGCTGATAAACTAACCCCCGCTTGAGGTGTGAACCCATCTCCCCCCTCCTGATACGGAAGCTGACGCTTGAAGAAGGCAAACTCCAGGGGAGACAAGAATGAAGAGTTGGCCAAGCCGAAGTCAACGTCCGGGCCTCTGTCAGGCAATGGCCAGTCAAAAGCCTTGCCCAGCTCCACAAGAACACTCTGATCAAAAACAGTGCATGCATCAGTCACGAGCTCAGGATCGATGCCCCGTAAGAAAAACTGCAAGGTGGGGAGATGAGTAGCTCGAATAAGGTGTTTGCAGGCAAAGGGGTGTAAGGTACTCAGTGAGCCCAGCTTGTGGAGGTCATCGTCAAGAGCAGCAAGCTTTTCCTGAAGCCAGTTTCTGATGAAGTCTCTAGAGCCCAAAGGTATGCCGCCGACTACCACTCCCGCCATCTCGACCGAGAAGCTCCGCAAGTCCGCGAATTCGCGCTTGATGAAGGCAACGATTGCTGAATGCTGCTCGGGCGGTAAGTCCACCCATGAAGGGGAAAAATCCTTGGAGTCTCGAGGCTGAATGTCTAGGCCCAAGTCATCCCGCAGGGTGTCAATAAGGTCCTTGACCGCCGCGTGGGCATCCGAAAGTCGCCCAACCACCGTGATGTTATCGGCATAGACTGGGAAGGTACAGCTCGTGTGTTTATCCGCAACACGCATGAGAAAAGGATGTAGAGCGTGACAGAAAAGACTGAGACCTGCTGGATCACCTTGGTGAACCCCTCGAGAGCAGTCGAAAGGCCGAGCTTGCGCGCTTTGCTTGAGTCCGCCTCGGATCCGTTACTCCGATTTAGCGTCCACCCCTTACGATGACTAGCGGAAACCTGGGGCTTCTGGGGGTGGGGTAGGACAGTGCAAAATGCATCAACAGGTAGGGTAGGCTGGTGTTGCTCACCCGTACCTGATAGGCGGAAACCATGGGATTGAAGAGGGTAGTATACGACTAGGGTAGGGCTCCATGTAGAGGGGTGGTTGGGCAGGAAATATGGCAGGACGATCAAGGGGGAGAGCGGGAGGAGAGAGGGAGAGAGGATGGAAGGAGCTTGAGGGAGGGTGACGACAAGCTTGTCTTGTCGCAAGAGTGTGTGAGATGTCTTGTACCTGCTGCAGAGAGAAGGAGACGTGACAACAGACAGAAGAGAGGAGATGAGAGGAGGGAAAAGAAACGGCTGATGGAAGGGATGCAATATGAAGAATACCAAGAGGAGCGAGGAAACCTTCTCTGTGCTTGATTATTGTTTTTTCGGCATTCGTACTTCCTCTCCTGCTGTGTCAAGCAAGGATGGAGAAGCTTTCTCTCTTGATCTCTTTATTTCTTTCTTTCTCCTTGCCTTCTCTTCCCTCGCTGTCTTTTTTCATCTCTCTCTACGGTCAGTCACTGGAAGGGAGAAAGGAGACGGCGTGGGAGAAGGAGGCAGAGTCGGAAGCAGGGCAGAAACTCGGGATATAATAAGACATGCATGGATAAGTGAGCAAGAGAGGGGAAGTCAGAATGAGTGATAGGTCTTATCATCAAGAATAGACGGCATTTGTTGAGGTGAATACTTGATAAGCTCTGAAAGAGCAGGCGACTGATGCGCTCTTGGTGTTGCAGTTGCAGGCAGTAGGATCAGAGTGTATAGACAGAAACCCTCAGGTGTACAACACAAGGCTGTGCTGCTCTGTAATCAGATCGTTGTGCTGTAAACCGAACCACGAACAGAGGAAGATCCAAGATAGAGAGACATAAAAAGAGGGAGGGAGAGGGAGGTGGAGGACAGAGGATATCTGAAGCCGGCTGATGCAAGCTCCTGACGCAGGTTTCTCCCTGGGCTGAGAAAGGGACATGAGTTGCTTCCCCTGCTTCTCGTCCAAAGTGAAGCCCGAGGACGGTCGTGATGACTCGCTACTCCAGCAGAGGTTGGAAGAAGCGACAAGAAGGATCTCAGAGCTCGAGGCTGAGCTGAGAAAGCAGACTGTCAAAGATCCCCCAGCCCCTCAAGGAGACGTAGAGACCATCCCGTCAAGCATCTCCAGCCCTACGACTCAGCCGTCAAACAAGACAGACATCGAGATCAAATCTCAAATCAGCCATCCCACGGCTGATCCACCAGCTAGTGTCCAGCAGACGACCAGCTGGACCATACCCGACGACAGCATCTCTGACCTCAAGAAGCTCTTTCAGACCCCTCGAGACTCCGAGGAATACAAACCGATTCTCAACAACCTCCGCATGGCTCTCGGCGTCGACGCGTCGGCCCTCATGCCGCACGCAGGCCCTGACAAGCTCTCGTACGACGACTACGAGGTCAGAGTCGCAAGAGAGTGGGAGCTCGAGCGCAAGACCAGCAGCCTCGGCGACCTCAACATCCTCCGAGTCATGGCGGAGTGCATCCCCGGCGGGAGCGCGGCGAGTCCTCTTGCGGGGCTACAGGGGATGACGGAGAGCGCTCTATCGGCTCTATGGCAGACGGCGATAGCAAGGAGGCTCGAGGAGGCGCTGAGGAGGCCGGCGGAGGCAGGAGGGCGGGCGGGAGGAGACGGTGCGACGTCGCACAACAGCAAGTTTGCGGTGAATGAGTCGGACGGTACAGGCAGCGGGGAGGTACGCGAGGCCGTGTACGGGAAGATCGAGGAGTACTACGGGGGGCTGATGGAGCGGATCGGGCTACCTCAGACCGAGCTGATGAAGGCGATAGAGGAGGAGCACTGCAAGGGCAAGGACGCGGAGGAAGCGTTCACGACGAGCAACTACAACATCACGACGACAGCCAAGGAGGAGTGGCTCAACGTCACAGACCCGGAGAGGAGGCGGAGGCTGTCGGACGGGACGCGGGTGATCCGAGGGATGGAGGAGCTGAAGGGGCTGGACACGGCGATGAAGGCGGGGCTACAGGAGGCGGAGCTGATCGCGCTGCAGCTCTACACAGGTACGAGAGAGAGATAGCGAGAGAGGGAGAAGGAGCATGGGGGAGGAGAGAGGAGCAAGAGAGCGTGAGAAGGCTGACAAGAGGCTTGCTATGACAGGGCCGATGTACTTCAAGTACAACTCTGTTCTTCGAGCTCCCAACGAGCTCCTCCGAGACTCCAACAAGGTCCCCAACAAGTACACGACGACCATCCACTGCATCGTCAGCGGCGTCGTCAAGCTGTCTCGTCACACGCCTCTGCCAGAGGGGCTGCGGGTGTGGAGGGGGCTGAAGGGGATGAGGCTGCCGGAGAGCTTCCTCAACGAGGACAAGCTCGGGGTGTCCGGAGGAGTCGAGTACGGGCTGCTGAGCACGACGACAGACGTCAGGACGGCGATGCAGTACGCCGGGGAGGAGGGAGAGTCGATGGTGTTCGAGATCAGCTGCGGGGCGATCGACCGGGGGGCGAGCTTGACGTTTGTGTCTCAGTATCCGGGGGAGGGGGAGATGCTGTATCCGCCGCTGTCGTACCTGGAGGTGGTGAAGACGCCGCGGTACAGGGAGGTAGAGGGGAGGCGGGTGAAGGTGCTGGAGCTGAAGATCAACGCGAACACGATGAGCTTGACGATCGAGGACTTTGTGGGGAAGAGGAAGCAGCTGTACGTAGGGCTGATGGAGAACCTGGCGAGGGAGGTAGAGCGAGACGTGAGGGGGTGGGAGGGGAGGATCCAGGAGCGGCTCAGGACAGCACCGAAAGACTCGTACTTGAAGATCCATCAGTATCTTGTACAATCGATCGTGGAGGAGAGCTGGGGGCTGGTGGAGGTGAGCAGGGCGAGGGAGTCGGGCTGGTACAACGACGAGTCAAACTACAAGGAGGCGATCGAGCTGTCGAACCGAGTCAAGGACATGGCGATCAACAAGCTCAGGCACTGGATCGAAGACACTCAGGGAGACTGGATTTGTCAAGCCCTTTCAGGCGAGTCGATGCAGTCAGTGTACTGGAGGACGATGGCGGGTCTGATGTACGAGATCAGCTCGCGGACTCCAGCAGGCGATGACGGCAGACGAGAGCAGAGCAAGAGGCTGTGCGGGATGTACGGCTTGTCGATGTCAAGGTCGGGCCAGCACGGGGAGCCGCCGACAGTGACGGCGGTGGTCCGAGGACAGGGGGAGCTGATCGGGCTGCTGAAGGCGGCCGAATGCGACATGGACGAGCGGACGGAGGACGGGAGGACAGGGCTGCATGTAGCGGGGATGCTGGGGAGGGCGGGGAGCGTGAGGGAGCTGATAGAGGCAGGAGCAGAGGTAGGAGCGAGGGACAAGGCAGGGAAGACGATGGTGCACTGGGCAGGGGAGTATGGGCATGTGGAGGTGCTGAAGACGGTAGAGGAACAATGCGGGAAAGAGACTCTGAGGACCTTGATGATGGAGAAAGACATTGACGGCAAGACATGCGCGCACTATGCGAGTGCGGAAGGGCACTTGGAGGTAGTGCGGTATGTTGCAGAGACATGCGGGGAGGAGGTGCTGAGGGAGAAGACCAATGACGGCTCGACATGCGCGCACAGGGCGAGTGCAGGAGGGCACTTGGAGGTAGTGCGGTATGTTGGGGTGACATGCGGGGAGGAGCTGCTGAGGGAGAAGGACAATGAAAGAAGGACATGTGCGCACTATGCGAGTGAGGGAGGGCACTTGGAGGTAGTGCGGTATGCTGGGGAGACCTGCGGGGAGGAGGTGCTGAGGGAGAAGGACAATGCCGGCGGGACATGCGCGCACTTGGCAAGTGCAGGAGGGCACTTGGAGGTAGTGCGGTATGCTGTAGAGACATGCGGGGAGGAGGTGCTGAGGGAGAAGGCCAATGACGGCAGGACATGCGCGCACTGGGCGAGCTTTTGGAGGGCACATGGAGGTAGTGCGGTATGCTGTAGAGACATGCGGGAAGGAGGTGCTGAGGGAGAAG